TAGAAATGTTTACTTTTATAATCAAACACTGCAGTACAAATCTTGGTTTAAGAAAAAATAAAGTTAAAATAAATATCTAAGATTTTGTTTGTTTATCTATGAACAAAACGAACGTAATAAAAAAGGCAGAGCTCAGTCGGTGTACGGACTAGAATTATCAATAATATAATAGACCTAGTTATAGCAGAAATTTCTATTTACACTTTGAGAGGAAAATAAAAAAAATCCTTATACATATGTAACGACTGACACCGTGTCAACCATTTTCATAGCGATTCCCCACCTTGCAAATTCACGAAAACGTGGCTTATTTGTGTTTGCTCTGAACATGTACGTTAGGGCTATTAATTACAGAAAGTCATCGTGAACTGAACTCGGTAGTAGTGATCCATTTAATTTAATGTGTTCCATGCATTGCATAATTTTATTTCTGTTCTGCACCTTGAATATCTAACTGTTCGAAAAACATAACATTTTGGCGTGAACAATCGAGTTACACGTACCTGCTCGGAAACATTTGTTTGCGGTAGAACTGAAAATATTCGATTTTTGTCGAATTTGCACGGACACACGTTTTAAATGTACATAACCGTGTAAAACATCATGATTGACCTCGAATAAGTGGCATCCTGTATTACGCCATGCATACATGTGTATGATTCAATGGTCGGGCCTCATCCAAATTTCGAACATAAATAATGGAATCTACACGGCAGCCATAGGTGACACCTTCGCGATTACATTTATTACGCTATAGCCGTTGAAAGGATATCACGCTTTATTAGTTGTCCTTAAAAGGTATACATATCTCGGTCTCAACACTTGATCATGTCTATTTTAACTTCTATAGCTTTTATATGTAAAACATCATAGACTACGCTCCTCCTAATACGTCAAATTAAAATCGCCTTGCGCTCAACATCGAACCTTTTGCTCCATCTCTTGCCCTTTCGCTCCACTACTTTCGAAAAATATCGATTTACAAATTTAAGAAATCCTTCAGGAGTCATTTATTTTGTACGAAAGACAAGTTCTTACAACGGGTTGATAATTACTCATACACTTTTTCAAGAAATCCGAAGGGTATGGCATTTCTACGGTTTGGAAGTTCAATATCTTACATTATTGTTCGCTTCGTCAGGGAGAAAAGTTCTCCCGGGCTTAATATAATTTTATTTTTGTAGCAGCTTAGATAATTGGAAGCCTAAATCAATCCTACACGGAACTACATTTTCCGTTTTTCGGACAACATAAATGAATAACAAGACAAAAACATAAACAATACTTACAATTAGGCGTTTAAATCGGCCTTCCGCCTTATCTCGGAAATGCCGTTCGCTCGTTTTACCGTACACCACAATTTTGAAGTGGAGCGACAGTTTGCCGGGCGTGGTATAGCAGATATACAGTATACAGAGTTCAATATTTTATAATACGGTTGTAAAGATGAACTTGTAGGCATACCCACCGTGAGCCTGCATTTATAGTCGACCGATATTTGAATACTTATGGATTCTGGTGGTGATCCCACTTTCCTAATTAACTTTAGTGACACTATTTTAGATAAGAAATAAAAAAATTACTTGTGTTAAACAATTGTGCATAATTTACATGAATTTTCTTTACCTTTTTTGGAGAAAAAGAGTTTAAATCAGCTACCTGTATAAAATATGATAATATACTAAATATATATATCTATATTCAATATTATATATATATATGTATATATATATATTCAGGTTAAAGGGTCATATTATAAGTATTCATCGAAAAAATTTCTTACGACACGTTTATATACTTTCATGATTTGTCAAGCATTTAATATCATCAATAAGTACCTTTCAAGATTTAATCTTGTTTTTATGCTCAAAACTTGACGAATTATATTACTGTAAATCACTTTATATTCGCGTGATCTTTATTTCGCGGGAACCCCACCCCTGGATTATTTCGCGAACTCATGAATTCGCGATGGCAGGGTCAGAATTTTATATTCGCGATTATTTGAATTTTATGTTGAAGATAAATCATATACTGTGTCGCTCTTATGCAAGGTAAATTAATGTTAATGGTGTTAATAAGAGACATTTTTTATTCATTTATTTTAAATACAAAATGTACCTACATACATGTTACAGACTTATTAGGAACAGTTTTTCTAATCATTTGTCAAATTTGTTTTTGTTTGCAAATACCGTGTTTGATAAAACGTTTAATGTTTGTAAGAAGGTGTAATATACTTGTTTATTAATACCTAATCTACAGTATAAAAATTGTCCGTTGATCACTGTTTTACCGTAAATATATTGTCATCTAAACAATATGTGTTTACATTTGTCTGTAAAGTGCAAAATTTGTGGATATTTTCCATTTGTGTGTTTAACATGCATGTATTCATGAGGTAAAAGGAAAGGGAAAAATCTTTAACCTTCATATCTTTATTATGATGTAAATAAAACATTGCACATATCAATTATTTGCATTCAGTTATTGTAAACATTATAAAATTTAATCACAATTCGAAACAAATTGTCATCAGATTTATTTTTTATAATGTATGTTTGTTATAAAATTTACGCGGCATCATGAATTCGCGACGAGACCGATTCGCGAATAATAGCGAAAGTAAAAACATGGCGAAAAATACCGGATTTACAGTACTTTAAAGTAGTGAAGGAAGGCAATTTGAAAAATTATTCATTGATGCATTTTAGTTTTGCGATTATTAAGCTTCTCTCCTACACAAAACGGGTCTAAAACATAAACAAATTTGTTCAGAGTTATTAAATTTGCATAGAAGTAAAATTTGCAGCTTCCATGTGATAACTGTGACCTTACAGTTATGTTTCACTTGACACACATATAAACACACCTATTATCATACCCCTGAACATATTGCTAGTACGACAGCTTGATGCAGATAGATTTTTTTTTATTATTATTACTACATTGTATATAAATGTCAGTTTTAAACTGGATTTACCAAGATATGTCCTTCTTTTTTGTCTTTTTTTTATAGACATAATTTTCTATGATATACTGTGCAGCAATCCATTGCAGGATATAGCCAACTTACCAAGCACACAATTGTTCTACCCGTAAGCAACTGATCTACTTGCAACCAGTTAACAGGGGTGCTTATAATTGAAGTCAATATCATTGCAAGGGTTTAGAACTACAACAGGATAAACATTGCAAATACTTTTTTTTAGAAGTTTTTTTGTCGGATAAGACATGTATAAATCATCTTGTTTCATATAAATGTTCAAGCCTGCGGTGAAATGTTATCTTTTGATGACATTTTACTTTTTAAAAAAGCCCAAACTCAGTATAGAAGCTTTAATTAACTGTCATGCTGAAATACTTACTGATCAAGGGAGCTAACTGCCACTGATCAGGGGAGCTTACTTCTGCAGACAGTTTATTTACAAAGGATTTATAGATGGAGTTTATATCAAGTGCTGTAGTATTTTCCCATTAAATGCACACAAATTTGTGTTCTTAGTATTTCTTCTTATTATTTTAAGCATTTGCTCTAGAACTTTATACATATATGAATTTTTGAAGAAAAAAATGGTTAGGATTTTCTGAAATTGCAGCAAACTTATCATATTGTTAAACATAATAATATGCATGGATAATTAAGTTGTTGGGCGTATAATTTCAATTGGAAAAGACAGCATAAGAATGATTGCTATATTGACTTTCAAGCCCCCAAATCAGAACAAATAGGATATAAATATTTTAATGATAAAAAATCCAAGTGCTCTAGATTGGATTTTGTTTGAGTTTAATAGTTTCCACTACAACTTATTTCTGCTTATTAAATTTTTCACTTACTTTAACTTTTGTTGTTTTAAGTTATTTTTCTAAAAATTCAAAAAAGTTGCATATTGTGAGCACTGCATCCTGCTAGCAAACCAATTTTATTTTGGTTTTAAAATAAAATTGTGAAATACAAGTTACATTTATTGTTACTTTATATTCCATTAGCAGAACATTTTAAAGTGACATTTATTGTGTTAATCATCGGGTCAGTGAACAGGTATAAAAAATAAATTAATGTTTTTCCATAATTGTGTTTAATTTTTTATTTTTTGATATGAACAAAGAATTATTTTTTAATATTCCATGACTTGTGTCCAACAGAGATTCGGTCTCAATTCTTAAAAAGAGTTGGGCACAGTCTTATTGTAATTTAGGAAGTTTTTATATTAAATCATAAACAATTATTTCAATATAGATTATTGGCCAATCACCAATTATGCTAGCCATTCCTTTAAAATATGTTACTAACTTACCTCACTTGACTGTGTAAAAATGAGTATTATAATGTCACTTTAATTTTGCAGTTCATTCACAGTATGCTTATTTTTGTATATTTACATGTTTATGTTTTATAATAAACAAAATTGTTCAGTGGCATTCTTCATTTCAGTGAAAAAAGTTTCTATTTTTCCAGCATTGATTAATTTAAATTTTAATTTAATTTTGCAGTTGGTTTGGCTTATATTACCAAGATTGATCTAATTTCATAAAAAGGAAAAAAAAGCCCAGTTTGGCACACCAGAACCAATTTAAAGTTGAAAAAAGAAAGCCGCTTATGATTTTTTGTTTGTTTGTTTTAGCATTTAAAGTGAATTGGTCTGGAATACAATAAATTATAATTTTGATAGTATTGTGTATCAATCACTAAAGAACTATACTAATATTTTATGGATGTTTTGACATTGTGAGACACATGATATGATATTACATAAATATATATAATGTTCTAGGACAAAATTTTTCATTATATAAATGTTCATAATAAATCACTAAAAACATTATCAACTTTCTTTCAAGTAGTACTCAAAAGAATAACCATTTCTATTGTTTTTATCTGAATATTTGAAATTCTAATGGAAAATTTGCCCATTGTAGACCAAATCACTTTAATAATATTTTGTATTATAGTGTATTATTTTTGTTCTTTTATTTTGAAGATTATCCTTTTACAGGTACCCTCTTGTCTGCAGGGGATGTCCTTGCCCAATTAGTGGTTGAAAAAAGGCCCCTTGAAATGTACAATGTAAAGAGAACAATTAGATTTGCTATATTTGGTACCTTTTTTGGCGTAAGTACTGGTTAACGGTGAAAACCCTCAGGATTAAGGGAATAATTTTATTATGTTAGGGTTCATTGTTACACTTTCCTAAGTTATTAAACCTAAAGAAATGTTACACTTTCCTAAGTTATTAAACCTAAAGAAATAGTAATTATTAAAGCTTAATGAACTCTAAAGAACTAGTAATTAATTATAGTTTAATAAACCTAAAGTAATTATTATAGCTTAATGAACCTAAAGAAATAGTAATTATTGTAGCTTAATGAACCTTAAGAAATAGTATTTATAAAAATAGTAATTGTTATAGCTTAATAAACCTAAAGAAATAATTATTAGTTATTAAATATAGCTTAATGAACCTAAAGAGATAGTAATTAATACTAATGATCATAATTATAGCCAAATGTCAATCTAAAGAAATAGTAATTATTATAGGTAAATGAACCCAAAGAGAAAGTAATTATTACAGCTAAATGAACCTATAGAAATAGTAATTATTATATGTTAATGGACCTAAAGAAAAAGTAATTATTATAGCTTATTGAACCTAAAGGTATACATGTAAATTTAGTTTCTTAAGAAAAGCCATCTACTGGAACCCTTATTAAAACTGTTTGTAATTTATGTGTTTGTGGAATTGGTATCCCCTTGATGATGTGTGGAATAGGTATCCCCTTGAGGATGATAGGAAAATACTTTCAACAATGAAACATGGAAAAATCAAATTAGACACCTATTTTTATGCCAGAACTGCACCTTTTTTGGTGCAAAGCCACCCCCCCCCCCCCCCGCTTGACCTATTTTATTTTATATCATAATCACTCACCTATGGGCTGTGGCTTTAAAAACATCATCTTCTGTGGATGTTTATTGCATGAAACAAGGTGCATTAACATCAACAAATTAAAAGTACCATGCAATCTAATCGGGATCCATGCTGTTCGCAACTTTCTCAACTTTCAGTTTCTCAACTTGTAATAGGGTTTGTAAGTGAACAGCATGGATCCTGATCAGACTGCGCTGATGCGCAGGCTTGTCTGGATCCATGCTGATCATAAACGCACTAAGTTGGTTTTGTCATGGCCTGGCTCAAATGGTAACTGTTCCAAATCAAAGCAATGCAAATCCACAGGAATGAAACAGAATACTTACTCAAACAATAACTGGTGAGCGTTTCACTATCATTGTGTAAAATTTGCAAACCTTTTTACATTAATTTCGACTTTCACAAAACATAAAATTACGTTAGTTGCGTTTCACTAAACAGAACATGCAATGTACGCCAGTAATAAGTGAGCATAACTTTAAGTTTAAATTTACGCAAATATGTAGCTAAGAACGTTTAGTGAAACGCAAATAAATACGTAAGTTCTGCTTACGCAAAAAGTTAAGATCAAGCTTGAGTTACAATAACGCAAGTGCGTTAGTGAAATGCACCCCTGGTATTTAAGTCTGCCATCTTGTAGAAAATGCACTCATTCTAAGTTTTTATGTTGTCTGTTTTTTCCCTAAACCTTCCTTAGTAACATTAAATGAATGTTTCCTTATTGTTATTTTTAATTTCCTTTTTCTTGTTGGTTGTTTTTATTTCTTAATTTTCACTTTAAGACTTTTATAATCTAAAGTTCTGAGGTAGATTTTGAAAAAGATGTTCCAATCCGGGTAATATCATTATCTCTAGTGATTTAATTGTAATGAATTTTTAGCTCACCTGTCACTTTGTGACAGGGTGAGCTTTTGTGATCGCTTTTCGTCCGTCGTGGGTCGTCCGTAAACTTTTACTGAATTAAATGACATCTCCTCATAAACCACTAAGCCAATTTCATCCAAACTTCACAGGAATGTTCCTTTGGTGGTCACCTTTGAAAATTGTTCAAAGAATTTAATTTCATACAGAACTCTGGTTGCCATGGCAACCAAAAGAAAAAAACTTTAAATATCTTCTTCTACAAAACCCAAAGAGCTAGAGCTTAGATATTTTGCATGAAACATCTTCTAGTGAGTGTCTACCAAGTTTATTCAAATAAAAACCCTGGGGTCAAAATTGGCCCAGCCCGAGGGGTCATTGATTTTCCCTATATGTATATAGTAAAAACTTAAAAAATCTTCTTTTAAAGAACCCAAAGAGCTAGAGCTAAGATATTTAGCATGAAACATCTTCTAATGATTGTCTACCAAGTTTGTTCAAATAAAAGCCCTGGGGTCAAAATTGGCCCCGCCCCAGGGGGTCATTGATTTTTCCTATATGCATATAGTAAAAACTTAAAAATCTTCTTTTAAAGAACCCAAAAGAGCTAGAGCTAAGATGTTTAGCATGAAACATCTTCTAATGGATGTCTACCAAGTTTGTCCAAATAAGAGCCCTTGGGTCAAAATTGGCCCCGCCCCAGGGAGTCATTGATTTTCCCTATATGAATATAGTAAAAACTTAAAAATCTTCTTTTAAAGAACCCAAAGAGCTAGAGCTAAGATATTTAGCATGAAACATGTTCTAATCGATGTCTACCAAGTTTGTTCAAATAAGAGCCCTTGGGTCAAAATTGGCCCCGCCCTGGGGGACATTGATTTTCGTAATATGTGTATAGCAAAACTTTAAAAATCTTCTTCGAAAAAACCCGAATAGCTAGAGTTAAGATATTAAGCAGGAAACATCTTCTTGTAAGTGTCTATAAAGATTGTTCAAATAAAAGCCTTGGGGTTAAAACTGGCTTTGCCCCAGGGGTGTCATTGTTTTTAAATATATGTGTAAAGAAAAAACTTAAAAAAATCTTCTTTTAAAAAACCCAACGAGCTAGACCTTAGATGTGTAGCATGAAACATCTTCTAATGGGTGTCTACCAAGTTTGTTCAAATAAAAGCCCTGGGGTTTAAACTGGCCCTGCTCCGTGGGGCCTATATACAGGTGAGCGACTATAGGGTCATCATGGCCCTCTTGTTAATTATTATCACTGTGAGTGAGTCAGGCGGCTTACCATATAGAAAATAAGATACTTGTTCTAAAGAATCAAGTATTTGTCTTCAATATGATGTTTACATTGCTTGACCAATTATAGATTGGGTATATGTTATAGGTCTATTTGTCATATTTTAATATGTTTAAAAGTTCAAATCTGCTTCATTTAATTTTCAAAATTATTGTTTAGATTTTATATAAAAAAAAATTGTTCTGGAACAATTTTATGATACTGCTATTTTAAGTAGAGTTAAATCCCCTTAAAGAATGATTTTTGCAGCAGATATTCACTTTAAAATGAGGTTTCTTTTCATTGTATAATAATATTTGCTGTTAAAATATGTGTATCATGATAATCTAAAGCTTGTACATTCAAATAAATGATAACATGCTGAAAATAAGCATAGAAATTGTATAACATCAACATGCTATAAACATATATTTTATGTCTGTTATTCTATGTACATATACTCTATTTCTGGATTATATTTCAGGGACCAATGTTTAGTGTATGGTACTCAACTCTAGCCAGGAAACTAGGTCATACCAAATATGCTGCTCTGAAAATGGTTGCCTGTGATCAGGTTAGTTTTTGCATGTGTACAGCCATGTAATAGACTGTTTATGTTTATATACTATCTTGTCACTCATCTTTTAAACGTTTAATTTGTTTGTATGAATAGCATCCTAATTCACAATGATGGATCAAGTATTTTTAATATTCTGTATTTCTGCGAGTATTTTGAATGACCAAAGTGAAAATTCACTCTATTGCCCTGACCTCATGATGTTTGAAATTATGTAGAAACAAAGAGGCTCTTGTAATAAGCGGGAAATTCATTTACCATTTATTAATACAGAACCTGTATCACATAATCATTTTTTCAAGAAAAAGACCAATAACTTTAGCGTTGGTTTTCATTGGATTATTGCCCTTTGTGAAATTACAGTTTTACTAACAAGCACTGACTGAGTAAAACTGAGCATGGCTGCTCTTTTTATATATTGGTAGAGTTTTATTTGTTCCTAGACTTCGGTTTTTATGAAGAAAAAAGGTAATAAAGCCCCTTTTGCAAGTAGTACAAAGTTTAAACATTATGCATTTGACTATTAAGTTTGTTAAGAACTTTAAATATCTTGAAGCATCATTATTTTTGTAGTGTTACATTGAAAGATGCCTTTCAACTGCTGGTGTAAGTCTTAACTAAAATTTAAAAAAGATGATTTTGAAGCCTTTACATTTATGGTGTGTTTTCTATTTCAGTTGTTATTTGCTCCACCATTTATTGCCTATTTTCTTATTGTGATGGAATTAATGAAAGGAGAGGGTTTGCAGGATATTAAACTAAAACTACAAGACGTAAGTAAATAAATTTTTTAGGGTTTCATTATAATGCTGCATAAGTCTTCACTGTGAACTTTAAAGTTTCACTCATCCAGATCAGCAAATAAATAGAATACAAAACTTTCTAAAAATGTATTGACTGTCGCAGCATTTGCTTTATACATGTGCAAAATATTTCCATTACACAACTGTGCCATTTTGCATGTTTTAGAAAGAAAAAAACAACGGAATTTGCTATCATTTATCACCATATTTATACCATTTCACTGATTTAGTTAGTGATATTGTTTACATATGTTTCTAAAATGCTGTTTTTTAAAAACACTGCATATTTTAGGATTCATTTATTTGTGATTAAAATTGTCAATCATTTTTGTATATGAACAGCTTTATAAATTATCATGAAAATTAGTTTGAAACTGGAGTCTTGGTGATTTACAGTAAGTGCCATAATTGATTAACTCCTATTCAATTTAGAAGGACTTGACCTGTTACTGCACTAAGGTGATGTGTAGAGCTGTCTGAAAACTTTTAAATATTTTAATCTAAATTACTCTTTAGTGCACATGATATGTAAATCAGACCAGATGTCAAGTGACAAACACAAAAGATGATGGTGACTCAAAGAGGGCTCGTATATTATACTGTCCCTTAGAGTGCGGACATATTGACAACCATGAGGTTGATAGAAAATTGGAAAAATTATATAACAGCTGATTATGGTCTATGATGATTTCCTGTCAGTTGTTTCTTTTTATATTTCAGGATTATGGGGATGTAATGAAAACAAATTATAAGGTAAGACTTCAAGCCATAGTTTCTAGGTTTGTGTCTCAGACACTAAAATACTTAACATTCAGAAGATTGTACGGGGTGGCAGTATCTGTTGTGAAACATTTAGTGTTTCAGGGAATGATATGAAAGCTAATGATTTTTTGTGGTGACACATTTTGTTTGTACACATTAGATTGATAGTCTCAAATAACAATGGTCACTTCTGGAGAAATTGGTTATAATTGGTTAGTTAGTTAGGAAATCCGGTATGGTTGATAATGAAATGGCAAATGAGTTGCCTCTAATTCATTTTATTTATTTATCTGTATATAGACAACCTGTGTTTGTGTAATTGACTAAATTTTTTATTGGATACTACACCCTTCTTGTAAAAAAACACACCCTTTTGTAAAATTACTTTGAAATACTCTACATTTTTAATATAAGGATACTTGTTTCAGGTAAACCTATGAATTGTTTTGCTCTTTTAAAAGGTTTAAAAACTTTGTCATGATTTTATCATTTAGGTTTGTAGCATGTACAGCACACAAACCCTGTCGGTGAATAACTAGCTCACCACCAAGAGTCATGTTTGTGTACTCATATATGGGAAACATTCCCTTATGTTAATTCACCAACTTAAGATTTTGCATATTATTATGCTGATTATCAGTATTATGATATTCTTCCAAAATCGTTACAGATTTGGCCAGCTGTACAGGCGATGAATTTCACATTTGTACCAGTGCATTACAGGTAAGAATTGTGTATTTTGTGTGCTTGGCGTTGCTAGTTACCCTTGTCTGTCTGTCTGCTTTTAATTGCACATTTTAACCTTTACTATTAAGGGAATGTTAGGGCTATCTTCACCCTCCTGCATTGACACAACACTTTTGTTAAATATTTTAGTACAGAGTTTTGTACAACTAAATGGCTCATCAACTAGTAAATATATTTGCTTAAAACTTAATATGACAATGTCTTTAGCATCACAATAAGAGGTCACTTGCCAAGGCATGGCTTTTAACTTATTTATGGCCTTTTGTAGAAAATTTCCTGATAAATGTTTTCAAATGCAAGATAAATCCTCAAAACTACTGGAAGTGCATGTACTTGCATGAAACTTTGTAAATTGCTTCTGGAGGTCATATATTATACATGTCTGCCAGATGATGAATGGCTGTCACTTCCTAAAAGCATAAGCTCTGACATAAACTTCAAATTTTGTGAACTTAGAAAATTCTTGGTTATGCAAGATCAACCTTTGAAACTACTGAAGGTATTAACTTAATGCATGTCTTTGAGGTCATAATTGAAGGTCCTTTCATTAGCCCATAACATAAGTATTGACTTTTATTGAATTATGTTCCTTTGTGAACTTGGAATATTCCTGGTCAAAGTTAAGCATATAAAATTAGCCTTGTTTACATGATCTACTTGAAGCTTGACATACCCTTGTTACTGAGGGGTTGCCTTTAAGGGTTGAGGCATCAGAATTGCAGCCACCATTCATCCATGCATAAGAGGGGTTGCCCTTATGGGTACCATTTATTCATCATATTTGCAGCCACAGTTTATCCCTGCATAATTGGCAAGCGAATGGTATAGAATTACTGGAGTCTGTGCATCTCTTAGCTCCAGAAGGTGAGGTTGTTTTGACCCTTGGTGTTGCTTTAAGTTTGTAACACAAGTGGTTAGCCAATATGATCATTACTATTTTGGCACCATTTGACCTAAATTGTGTTGTTGCGCTTCAAAAAAAAAAGAGTTTGACATCATAATTGAACCCAACTTTCTAAGAAACTTTATTAATATGATTAAATCTTCTTCTTTGTAACCTCCTACATTATTACGCCTTTAATTATTAAAAGAATAGTGGAGTGACTGCTTTCATACCGACAGCTGTTATTTAGATATATATATAGTTTGTTTTATGCTTTGTTAAAAATAATTTATGTTATTTCACAAGGTACTTAATTATTTTACCTAATTTTTGAGAGGTTTATTTAAAACAGAGTAATTACTTAAATCTTTATGAATAATTTGTAGTTAATTCATAGACTAGGTTAGGAAAACGATAGAAATGTCAGATATTTATAACACTTTTAATTATGCTCAATATTTACATATATACATTTAACCCTTTGATAAAGACCACCTCTAAAGTTCACATTTACAGATAACCTGTGATTTTATGAAATTTATAAATAATATTCTTTACATAATAAGAATAGTTGTTGGTTTTTCCATACCTATAAGTATTATGATATTTCTGTGTGATGTCTAATTTCACAACCCTTGTTTCAGACACTACTTGTCAGCAAAAACCAGAGACAAATTTTTCAAGACTGGTCTTTGAAGACAAGTTGATTGTATATAAAGGATTTAATGCACTACTTGCCTCATATAAATTACGTATATTAAGCTTCCGATAATAGATTTTATTTGGAGGCATACTGTTCATGTCATGTTTTTTCTCTTCAGAAAGTTTAACATTTCCCATATGACTTTAAAGTGGATTGGTCTACATTTTGGGCACATTTTCCATAATTGTTTCAAATATTGATAAAAAAAAATTAGAAATGTATCAATTGGGTATACATATAAAATATTTCTTGAAAGAAATGTTGATAGAATTCTATGTGATTTGATTTAGTATGTACATTTATATGATTAATAATAATAATAAAAAAAAAAATTCTAAAAAAATTAATTATCATTTTGCTATATATAGATATGTTGCTATTTATAGATATGCTGCTATATATGGATATGTTGCTATATATAGATATGTTGCTATATATAGATATGTTGCTATATATAGATATGTTGCTATTTATAGATATGTTGCTATATATAGATATGTTGCTATATACGGATATGTTGCTATATATAGATATGTTGCTATATATAGATATGTTGCTATATATAGATATGTAATATCGAGTCATGTATCTCAAACTTACAAACTTTTGTGGTTTGTTGATGCAGATGATTATTATACTAAATACTAACAACATAACTATATATAGTATTACAAACCTTCCATTAATGGACTAATTCACTTTAAATTCTGTATTATAATTTAAGGTCATTTTAAGATTGGTAATATATAATTAGTCAATTACAGAATTTGAACAGGGTTATTTGATCTGTATAATTAGTTTGTAGCTGTGCAAGAAGTGTTAATGTAACCTTATATTTTTCAGGTGTTGGTAGTTGACCCATTTTCTTTCTCATACCCATGTTGTTTGCACTTTAGTGTAGTAAGATGTTTTACACCTTTGCTGTTAAATTAAAGGGACTCCTCTGAAGGTTTTTGACATGAGGGGACTAAAAATAATTTTTCGAGATTAATGTTCCATTTGATGTAGATCTAGATCAATAACTTGTTTGCAAAATTTCAGATCATTGGCACACGCAGAAATCAAATATATTCTAGTTGTAAAAAATGACCAAAAATTTTGAAATCGGGCTAAGAATAGCACAAAAATACAATCTTCAATTTATTTCAGAGTATATTTCTTAATTATCTTTTGCATATCCTTCTGTATTAAATGCCTGAAGTTGATCTATGTAAGAAATTCAAAATTTATTCATTTACGTTCTGGACCTCAGTGGAGTTCCTTTAAAAAAGTTTATGTTTGTGGCTAGTGTATATACAGTCAAACCTGTATCAGAGACCATCTTTGAAAAATGAGCTGCGTCATAGCAAAATCAACATAATGCGTTTGCGACCACCATGGATCCAGACCAGCCTAGCATCTGCACAGTCTGATCAGGATCCATGCTGTTGGCTTACAGACTCTATTACAAGTCTTACAAACCCTATTAAAAGAAGAGAAACTGATAGCGAACAGCATGGATCCTGATCAGACTGCGCGGATGCGCAGGCTGGCCTGGATCCATGCAGGTGGCAAACAGACAATGTTGGTTTTGTCATGGCGCGGCTCAAAATATAAACTACATTGTACAAGGATTGTTTTGTTGGTATGTAGACTGGAGATAATTCTCTAGAGTAATAATATTGCATTTAATGTAAGTTTATAGACATAGTGGGTATTGAATGAGTGTAAGTTCAATACTGAATTTATTGAACAAGTTGAACCATATCATATGCGAGCCTCTGGCGAGCATGATGTTATTTTATTCAAAGAGTTCAATGAATCAAGTAATGATGCCTATAATAGGAAATTAATCATAAATTCAAATAATGAAGCTATACAAAATTAATATTCTATTGATCACATATCCAAAATAAGAACTGTTTTAATTAAAAATGAGTAATTTTTTGCATTGACATATGCAGGTTGTGTAAGGCAAACATTTAGCTTGTCCTTATAATGCAAATGAAGTCACATCAAAGTATATTCACAACTGTGCAATACTGTTTTTTATGAAGTCCAAAAGCCCCACTGATATGTGATTATCTGAATTATGCAATCATGTAAAACAATGGCTTCTGTGATGCTGCTCCGAATTTACAACATTATTTAGCTAACCTTTGCAGTATGTTAACAACTAAACAAGTCTTCATACATGCACAAAACCTCTTTTTTGAAGCAAGCATTTTATTTTTCACAAATGAGTTATTATATATATTAACAGGTTTGACTGAATATTTAGAAATAAACCGTGCATGTGTTCATAAATTGAAATTATTACATCATGATTATCAAAAAAATTATTTTTTATTTCATTCTTTTTATGTAGTTCACATTGATGACAACCTGAGCTTAAATATTCATTTTATAAATTTCAAATGTTGGTTATTATCCAATAGGAAGTTATTAAATTTTGTGTGTTGTAACTGCCATCTGTATTGCTTATGGTTCACTTTTTTGGGTAAAGGTGAAGTAATATACAGTTCACTTATTTGGGAAAAAGTGGCATACTATATGGTTCACTTATTTGGGGAAAAAATGGCATACTATAATTATGGTTCACATATTTGGGGGAAAATGAAGTACTACATAGATCACTTATTTGTCAAAAAGTAAAGTACTACACTGGAAAAAGTGAAGTACTACACTGGAAAAAGTGAAGTACTACATTGGAAAAAGTGAAGTACTATACATGTATAGTTTATTCATTTGAAGAAAAATTTCAGCACAACAAAGACTATTTAAGTACTATTAAGTTTCCTTAATTGGGAAAAGTGAAGTACTACCGTCATGGTTCGCTTATTTGGGAAAAAGTATTACAAAAAGTCAAATACAGCTCAATTCTCGGCAAATAATGAAACATCAAGTTTTATTTATGTTTTGGTATCTTTGACATTCTCTTGTAGGGTTGTAACAGTCAACGTGGTAGCTGTAGGTTGGAACACCTATCTAGCGTGGATGTCGGAGAAAACACCTGCTCAGCCGGACAATGATCAGCAGGAAATCACTGAGGAACCTCGACCCTCCCCTTGATCTTAGTTGTTATAGTTATTTGTAGGCATATTTATAAATAATTTAGGAGAATAAAATGTACTATCTTTTTTAGTTCTATTGTTTTTCATTTCCGCAGAGTTTTAGTCGTAAATTTGGTATCCGTGGGATGGAACACGTACCTAGCGTGGAAAGTAGAACTAGTTCACCCGCATCCAGAGCTCGCAATGAAGAAAACCTCAGAAAAGGTGATTGTTGCCGCAGTCAAAGAAAAGAGTGTGAAAATCTCGGAAACTTCTCTTTGATGATTTCTCTTGGTTAGGAAGACCTCTTTTTATAGTTGATATTGTAAGTGACCTGATAACTTCAAATTGCTTGTAGTCAATCTATTCTAAGCTGGTTCAGGTTTTGCATGTTAGAAAGGAAAAAAAAAAATATGCAGTGCAACTCCTGAAAGTCAAGCACTTGCACTATTAGATAAAAAAAAGTTCAGATTTTGAAAATTTAAGGATTGTAAGAAGTCAGGGTTATTCGGGACCTTACTCTGATTCCTGACCGGAATCTGGCCAGTGACTTTCAATTGTTCCATGTGAGGAAGCTATCCAGCTAGCTTACTTACTGTACACACTGTTGTTCTACCCAGTTGCTTACACATGCATTAAATAATGTAATGAGAGGCACCTGAGGTCTTCTTCCATCTGTGAAGTCAGAAAGTCGCATAAGATCATAACAGTGTGACATAAAAGCCAGCCAAAAATGGAAAAATATGCAAATTTTATGGAGGTCTTACAAATTTCCACTATTTTACTTTCCCCTTTATTAACTGACTGGTGATGTAGCTATATTAACAAATCCTTCACTATATTTGATGTAATGCTAGGTATTAAATCTGCACGCCTCCTGATGAGCCAAAATATTTCAAGAAAATCAAACTTGAGAAAAATGTTCTACAATTTTTTTTAAAAGTATAAGAAGTTCAAGATTCATATAATTTACATGTTATGTGTGACTAATGACTGATTTTGCAGTATTTATCACCATATTTTTACTTTATTATTAAGACAGTAAAGGGGTATTTTTGCATATTTTGTAATTTGCTTTTTCTTTTGAAATGAATGTTGATTGTAAGCACCTTTTGCAATGTGTAAATTACCTTGAATTCTTTTTTTTTATTTTTTCCTCGCCTCAAACATTTTTTTTCTTTTAAAGTACTTTTTTTTAGAAAAGTATTCATGAAAATGAGCTTGAATCATTATCTGGAGGCATGCTGCTTTAATCCACTAATCAATTCTTAAATAATTCACTGCTTTCCAAGTTTCTAAATATAATAAAACATTTTATATAATTGTTATATTATGACATTTTAAAAAAAAACCAACAACATAAAACAACTTGATCTCAAGTTTTACCATTATTTACATCTTATCTCATCTTAGCATAAAGTGCTCAGAGTTGAGATTTTGTGATGGCGTGATGTCAGTCGGTTGTTTTTTTATTGTAATCTGCCATAAACTACATCTTCAACTTAATCATATGCTCGAGTTTGACCAAACTTCACAGGAATGATCCCTGGGTGGCTGTCTACAAAACTAAAAGTTATATCAATGATGTTATATCACAGGAGCTAAAAATAGAAATGAAATTGTTTAAACTCTTCTTCTTGAAAACTGCTTTGTCTGTGGCTTAGATATCTGGCATGGTACATCACTTTGTAGTCTTCTACAAATAATTATGGCCCAAATGTCAAAATTACCCCTTCCCCCCTTTCTTCACTTAGTTTAATTATACTTATCTAGAGACATATGCATTTAAATCATCATCTTTTAAACTAATTGTACCAGAATTTTGATATTAAGCATGTATTTTTATCTAAAAAATATTTTAAATCATTCATTTTGCTTTCTAGAAAATAGTATATTATAAATCATACCACTTTGGTCAAAACTGGTCCTGGCCCTTGGTAAATGTTGTACTAATTGACTAGTATAGGAATCAGTGTTAAAAATCTTCTCAGTTTCTTCATTGACAAGAGATTAGATGTTTGTTATGGAGTGGTTGGCCTTTCTCTTTTAAATCTTTCCTACCATGATGGTCAAAATTGGCTGATGCTTACAGGTCACTTAGTTTTAATAGACTTGAATGGGAATCCATTTTTAAATCTTCTTGTGTGAAAATACATGGCCTACACCTTGGAAATTTAGCATATACAATTGCCTTATGAACATCTACTTAAGCTAAATGAGTCATAGCCCTGTTGACAAAATAGCAAGCTTACCATCCAGCCAAAATATTTGTTTGATTCAGCCAAAACCTCTGAGATGTTAAACCCTTGTTTCTGCGAAACTTCTCTGATATTTTAAACTGTTGATTCTGCGAACCTTCTCTGAGTTTATAAACTCGTTTACTCCCTAATGTACAAATCAGATACTGCCTTGTGTGTTTTGCTACTCTTTCTATTAAATGGGATCTGATACACATTTTTTGTATTACATGTATTACACTGAAACTGAACTTTAATAATAGCTTGATTTTTGAAGTTTCGCAGCTTCTTAAGTACACATAATGGGAAATATGTTCAAGGTTATTATTTCTCATACTTTTTACCTTTTCCTGTGACATGATCGTAACAATGGGTCCATAGATTTATATATGTTCATGTAAGTATATAATTATACATTCAATATTTGATGTGTGCAATTTATTGTTTGATTTTATTAACCTGCCAGTTGCATAAAAATAAAGAGTAAGTCTAAAACAATGGCAACAGTAGGGATCCAACCACTAACCTCTCATATATTAGGCAATTACTTCATCAACTGTGTTATTGTGTATGTGACAATGAAGGGCTGTCATTGATAAAAAAAAATTTGTATTGATATATCAAGAGACAAATATTGACAATATATCAACTTTGACAGTAGATACAATGAAAAACATTTAAATATGTGTTATAAATTGGGCTCAAGGTGTTAATATGCATGTTTACAATTTATACAAATTCTGCAAACAAGCAAAAAGGTAGTTTTTTCTGTTATTTTTGTCACTGACATTTGAAAACTGAGTTTAAAGTTCAAGTTAGCCAAGAAAACTGGAAAAAAATGACTTCTCTTATTATAAATTACAGGCAAAATAGAGATGTATATTCACCAAAAGAAATGCAATGTAAATTAATTTTAGATTATATCAATATTTGAAAGTGGGTATCGATGAAAATTGATGATGTATCGATATTGCGAGATTCAATGACAACTGTTTGTGACAACAACCTATACATGAAGCTCTAGTGTTCCTTTTCAAAATATTACTTATTTAAACTGTAGTAATTTTTGAAAACTACACAGGCAAACAGAAAGTGGGATCGAATATTAAAGGAGTGCTATAATGTATTCATAATTGACAGGTTGATAAAATCAAACTAAATGTGTGTGTATACTTAATTTAATGGAATAAAGTGCTGATGGTAGATAAAGTGACTTTCTAGTGCTTATATCTTCAGTTTTAGTTTTAGTGCAGTAGAGGTACATATGATCATTAATTTTTTGTTGCTCTTTATTTATTCAAGAAACATTGATATTTGTTTGAAAAGTTTGAAAAATGACTGCAAGAATAAATCGTGCTGCAAGAAGATATCTAGCTGCAAAAATAAATCTAGGTGTGCATGCAACTTAAGTTATTGCACTTAATTAACACATTTCAACAAATTTCTCAACTGTATCTGAGGTTAAGGCGACTTCAGATCTATAAATTTTACTGCACATGCAACTTGCGTCAGTGAGCTTGAACAAAATTCAACAATTTAAGTATCTTGTCTAAGTCTGGGTCTGACATCACAGTCAGCTCTATATCTAAAATGAGGTAATTCTAAGGTAATTAGAATGGTTGAGACATAAGAATTGTAGCCACTGTTTATTACCCAGTGCATGATCGTTAGGGGTGACTATTTGGGTTTGACAACTTGAGACTTTGCGTCTCTCAGCTCCAGCAGGTGAGATGGTTTTGACTACTGGTGTTGCTTTGATGTTTTGTAACATCGTATGTTTGCCAAAATTATCTTTCCTGTTTTGGCGCCATATAACTAAATTGTGTTTGTGCTCAGTTAAACCAAACAAAACATAAAAACTAAGGTAATTCAATAGTATTGCTAGAAAGTTTAATAATGCAATTTATTTTAGCATTTCATTACACTCACTACTGCCAATAATAAACAATCACACTAAAATCACACACACATATTTCACTTAATTGCAATAACCAGTAACTTCCCAACAAATTCTGCGAGCATGGGTAACATGCAAATATCTATCTTCCCAGCTGATACTGTAACAACGGTGCTAAAAGTGTGGATGAGTGGTGAAAATGATGGACTTTGAATACTGTATAAGGATAACTGGGCACATGGGTTCGAACCCGTCATGGCAAATCATTGTTTCCTTGAGCAAGAAACAAAGCAGTTATTGCTTTACGTACCCAGTTAGTTCCAGGAATGGATAAGAAAGTATCGTGGGCGTCCTACACAAACTAAATTAAATTTTGAATGATAGTGCTGACAGCAATGGGATAGTTTCAGTGTCACTTTGAGTTATCAATCAAATTAAATTGTGGAAAAGTAGTAAGAGGTTATTTGATTGCCAAAAGGAGTTTGGTGCCCAGTCTTTACTAGTAATTGATTGTTTTTAGGTGGTTAATCTTTCAGTTTTGTAGTGTTGGTTTTTGTGTCGCCTCTACGGAGTAGTGGCGACATATAGGGATCACTTCTCCGTCGTCTGTCTGTCTGTCCGTCCGTCCGTCACAAAACTTGTCCGGACTACTCCTCATAAACTACTGGTGCAATTTCATCCAAACTTTACAGGAATGATCAGTACCAAGTCTAGTTGTGCATATTGTCAGGATTTTCCGGTTCAATGATTTTTGTCAGAGTTATGGCCCTTTAATAATTTTTAATTTTAAAGTTTGTCCGGACTACTTCTCTTATACCACTAATGCAATTTCAATGAAACTTTACAGGATTGATCTGTAGCTCAAGTCCTTGCGCATATTGCACGGGTTTTCCGGTTGAATGATTTTTGGCTGAGTTATGGCCCTTTGATAAAAAGGTGTTTTTTTCTGTGTGTTGCCAGATACGCAAAAGCTTGTCCGGACTACTCCTCATAAACTACTGGTGCAATTTTATCCAAACTTTACAGGAATGATCAGTACAAAGTGGTTAGTCTAGTTGTGCACTGTCCGTCTGTCTGTCCGTCTGTCACAAAATTTGTCCCAACATGAAATTGGCCATCATGAGGCGACACATGTGATTACTGATCGCTCTTGTGTTTGTTTTGTTAGGCTTTTTGCAAGTTTTTGATTTTCATAAAGTCTTGTGCTGTTAGATAGTTGCTTAGTTATGTGTTGCTAATTCAGTTTAATTTTATTCCAATTGTTTCAATTCAAATTTGTTTCTTTTCAACGAAATTGTTTGCGTGTTCTGTCTGTAGAAAGTACCTTGAAATCTATTAATCCTGTTTTATATTAATTTTTTGTGGCTACCAAGTAGTAGTTATTTACTTTTGCAATGTTAACACTTTCCAAGATGAAAAATAAAGCTATACTCGTACAGGTAGTTTTTTTTTCATTTGGAGATGAAGTTTATTATAATACTATAATTATACACTAATTAAATGTATGGTACACATATAGAATAATTTGTTTAGTAGGAAAAATTTAATAATTTATACCCCTGTGTGCAAGGTCATAATGAAGACTGTATCTCAGATTTTTGGTATTTGATTGGCCAGAATCTAACACAGAATGTACATTGACTAATGCAAATATTGAGAAATTTGACACAGAGCTCAGGAAACAGTCTTATTACCTAGAGGTCAGACCTTAAGGTGAAATGATGAAGTTTTAAACTTTGAATCTTTAGCTATTCCCTTCTGCAGGTTAGAAATTACCAGTGAGGCCTGTTGAATATAAGATACCTTACTTACTTATAAAGATTAGTGGTCTTACCTGGATTATGTGCTTATAAAGATAAGTGAACTTACCTGGATTCTATGCTTACAAAGATTAATGGTCTTACCTGGTTTCTGTGTGTTTAAATATTTGTGGTCTTACCTGGATGCTCTGCTTATAAAGATTGGTGGTCTTACCTGGATGCTATGCTTATAAAGATTGGTGGTCTTACCTGGATTCTCTGCTAACAAAGATTAATAGTCTTTACCTGAATTCTGTGCTTATAAAAATTAGTGGTCTTACCTGGATTCTCTGCTGACAAAGATGAATAGACAATACCTTGATTCTCTGCTTAAAAAGAATAATGGTCTAACCTAAATTCTGTGTGTATAAAGATTAGTGGTCTTACCTGGATTCTCTGCTTATAAAGATTAGTGGACTTACCTGGATGTTCTGCTTATAAAGATTGGTGGTCTTACCTGGATTATCTCTGTGCATCTAATTGAGCATTTCAGGTTCTCTAGCAGTGAATGCCTTACATTTGTTTAAAAACCTTGAAAATTTGTTAATTAACCTTAAACCTGTTGAATTTGTTAAATAAATTTGCCCTGCTTTGCATTTGAAACATTCTATTTCAAAGTTTAAGGGATTTTAAAATAAAAATACAAAAAAAAATTACTAACCAACACTGTATTGAACTTGGTCACACTGCACGGATTTCCAGGCTGGCCTGGTTGAATACTGGTTGCATTTACTGATAACCACTGTTGGTTGTGGCAGGTTAAGGGTCATAGCTAAGGTAGTAATCCATCGAATGATTATGTAAATAAGAATCATATACTTTTGTCGTTTCAGGGTAGATGAATCTCTTTGAATTGAATGGGATTACAAGCTTCATTTTAAAATTGCACCAGTGTTTATTCAGAGGCCTTATCTTTACGAATTATATTAATTCTATATGTTGTGTAACATTTTAAATATTTTTGTATGCCTTGTTTGTTTACCTCCTAGAGGTAATTTTAGTTTTTGTTTTTTCAAGTGCTCTTTACTTTTTGTTTTACTTCGGACACAAGAAAAAATAGTAGAACATTAAAATTTGTTGCTCAATGGAACACTGTGGAATGCTCAGTGGAAAACTGTGGTAAAGTCCAGTGGAATAGGCAGTTGAACACTGGTTCAATATCCAGTAGAATATTTACAATTAACTGTGATAACTCTGAGGAATATATGCTATGCCGGTACACTTTGGTAGCTATATTGACTTTTGTTTAATTAAGACTAACGTATAAACTTTAAGTAATTAACTTAAATACTTTTATCGCAGAAATTTATTGAAATCTTAATATAAAAATGTTAATGATTTATCTTAATGGAGATAAAGAAAGCCACTTGTTTAAGTTTTTACATGATTTTATTGTTTTGATTGCTATTTTTTTAATAACTTAAAATTTTAAACTTGCAGTAACAATTTACAGCAGAACTAGATGACTCTGTAGATAACAATTATATAACAAATCAGTGTTTCCAAAATTGTTTTTATCTGTTGTCAAAGCTGTTCAAATCTTGATAACGTGGGTACTTTAAATCATTCTGAAAATCCAGATTTTAATAGTTTTATATAGGGTCTAGGGTTTGTAGTCTCTTAATCGTGACTGGCAGATTAATCCTCAAAATTTTCACCCATGTTATCAAATATGATCAAAGAGAATCAATTGTTACGGTAGTGTCGAGTTAATTAAGGTAGTTTTGAATATGTAAGATATTAATTTGAATCTCAATATATGTACTTAAAAAGAAAATTGCTCACATATTTAGTTGTATGTTATCTTCTTTTATTTATAGATGATATATCAGACATTAAAGACATTTGTTAAGGATCCAATTTTTTTTAATACCCTTTATCTGCCAGAAATGAATGAAAATTATCCCAACTTTGTGGTGCTAATGTTATTATAAAAATATATAGAGGCTTCAGTTGTATTCACAGTTTTTATCTATAGATACCAACTGTAAAAAAGAGACATGTTCCTGACCACATCACATCATAACAATAAACAGGGCCATGTTCCTACATCTACAATAAATAGGGCTTTGTTCCTGATCACACCACATTATCAACAATAAACAGGGCCATGTTCCTAACCACACCACATTATCTACAATAAACAGGGCTATGTTCCTGACCACACCACATTATCTACAATAAACAGGGCTATGTTCTTGACCACACCACATTATCTACAATAAACATGCAGAGCCATGTTCCTGACCACACTACATTATCAACAATATACAGAGCCATGTTCCTGACCACACCACATTATCTACAATAAACAGGGTCATGTTCCTGACCACACCACATTATCTACAATAAACAGAGCCATGTTCCTGACCACACCACATTATCTACAATAAACAGGGCTATGTTCCTGACCACACCACATTATCAACAATAAACAGAGCCGTGTTCCTAACCACACCACATTATCAACAATAAACAGAGCCATGTTCCTGACCACACCACATTATCAACAATAAACAGAGCCATGTTCCTGACCACACCACATTATCAACAATAAACAGAGTCGTGCTCCTGACCACACCACATCATGAACAATAAAGAGAGCCAGGTTCCTGACCACACCACATTATCAATAAACAGAGGCTTTATACATGTGTAATATATAGAAATACTTGATGGTAATGTTACATGGAAAACATTAATATCTATTTTTTGGGGTATTATATAAAAAAGTCAAAAACGGCACATTGGAAAACACTTGTATAGGATCACATATATTCCAACATATATTTGCTTGTCTAGGTTACTGACGAAAAAAATAACTCCTAATAGGAAACATAATGTTCATAGGGAGGTCTGTATAAAAGTACGAATAAATACTCTTATTCAAATAAATACTCCGCTAATGGCTTATTGTCTGATGTATCATGATATATTGTGTTACTTTTTGTTGTATAAATATCTTAAAGGAACTCCACTGATGTCAAAAAGCTAAAAATTATAAACATTTTAATTCTTGCTTAGATGAAGTTCAGCACTTGCAGTGGGAAAATCTGCAAATGACTATTAACAGATAAGCTTAGAATGAAATGGAAATTCTATTTTTATTGGGTATTATTAGCTCAATTGCATAGAAAAGCCTTTTTTTCATTTTAAGGTCATTCAGCACTATAGAAATGATTATCCTGGAAAAATGGGACAAAAAATGATCTTAAAATTTGCATGCAATTTATTAGGCTATACCTACATGGAATGGTACACAAATATCGGTAAAGATATTAGTAGTCCCATCATGCATAAAAACGTCAGTGGAGTCCCTTTAATAATAAAAAGGGTCCCAATCTAAATGTACACCGGTTATATTGATGTACTGATTCTAAAATTGTTTTGTATGATTTTACAAATTTCTTGTTGTTTTTTTTTTGTTTTTGTTTTTTAGCTCACCTGTCACTTTGTGACAGAGTGAGCTTTTGTGATCACTTTTCGTCCGTCCGTCTGTCCGGCGTCTGTAAACTTTTGCTTTAAATGACATCTCCTCATAAACCACCAAGCCAATTTCATCCAAACTTCACGGGAATGTTCCTTTGGTTGTCACCTTTGAAAATTGTTCAAAGAATTTAATTCCATGCAGAACTCTGGTTGCCATGGCAACCAAAAGAAAAAACTTTAAATGTCTTCTTCTAAAAATCTAAAGAGCTAGAGCTTAGATATTTGGCATGAAACATCTTCTAGTAAGTGTCTACCAAGTTTGTTCAAATAAAAGCCCTAGGGTCAAAATTGGCCCCGCCCCAGGGGGTCAATGATTTTTCCTATATATGCATATAGTAAAAACTTAAAAATTTTCTTTTAAAGAACCCAAAGAGCTAGAGCTAAGATATAGAGAATAATAGGTTGGTGCCGTGGATGGAGAAAGTTTATCTGGCGAGGCGGAGGAATTTATTGGGTGAGCCGAAGGCGAACCCAATAAATTCCGGAGCAGAGCCAGATGAACTTTCTCCATCCACGGCACCAATCTATTATTCTATTTATCCTGTCACCGTTTTTTTAAAAGAATTTTATTAGGCAAACTACCTTTAATCACACTATCGGAAATGTTTCTATATAAACAAAGAAGGCCCGAAGCGTGCATTATTACATTATTACAAATATTGTTCAAATAAAAGCCCTGGGGTCAAGACTGGCCCTGCCCCAGGGGTGTCATTGTTTTTAAATATATGTGTAAAGAAAAAACTTAAATAATCTTCATGTTTAGCATGAAACATCTTCTAATAAGTGTCTACCAAGTTTGTTCAAATAAAAGCCCTGGGGTTTAAACTGGCCCTGCTCGGGGGGGGGGGGGGGGGGGTCAATATACAGGTGAGCTACTTCAGGGTCATCGTGGCCCTTTTGTTTTGTTAAATGATTTAAGCTGTCTGAAAGTGCCAGTTCTAATATACGCAACTGTGCATATTTTAATCCATATATTAAATGGCAAAAGTTTGTCAAGTTTAATGTTAGAATCTTTATATTAAAATGTTTTACGTTATTTCTATACGTTTATTCGATGTTTTAGTTTTTACATATAATTTAAAATTTATAATCAGAATGCAAAAAGAAGCTTTGTTCCTATCAGAAAAGTTTACTGGTTATAATGAAAAAGGACGAGTAAATACTGCAATTTTTCTTATTTTGGGGTCATGAAATTTTATTGTTTTGTTTAATTCGTAGATTTGTCATTTTTCCAAAACAGTTAAATGCAAATAATGAAATAAAAGCAACCGTGCAGCACAAGAAATAAAATGTTGTTGTTTCTTATTTCTAAGATTGACCACGAAGCTGCATGAATAATTATGACTGCAGTATATTGTCATGTGTGCAGGTACAGCTAAGTAATTTGCCTAAATCACTGTAAACTATATGAGTTAATACTGGTATAGTCCCAGGAATCTCGATTTTGGTTCACAGGGGCGTCCGTGGCTGAGTGGTTAAGGTCTTTGACTTCAAACCACATGCCCCTCACCGCTGTGGGTTCTAATCCCGACAGGGACTTTGGATTTTTCATGTAGCTGTCCAGTTAGCTTACGGAACCTCGGTGGTTCTACTCTTGTGCCGTTCTTAACTAAAAAATGCGCCAGAGGTCTTCCTCAACCAGTAAAGCTGGAACGTCGCCAAATGACTTTACTATGTCGGTGTGACGTAAAACAGACCCTAGTTAACCGAGCATATATATATATAGTAATTGAACCGTCCTGTTCGTCCATCTGTAAGTAACCTTAAACGGCAATTTTGATTTTTTTTAAGTTTAACCTGTATCAATGGCTGCGTGTGGCAGCTGTAAAAGGTTGTTGCCCCGTACATTACTTCAGTGTTGTTACATTTTCCTGTGTCCTTCGGGATTATTGATGCCAGCACTATTTAGTGTACCTCTAGGCGGCTTGAGGGATGTTGCACTTCTTCGTCAACCCCCATGCATAGAAACAAACAGAATCTGCAATTTACATGTAATTTTGTTGTGATTAATGTTTCCGAGGGATCACTTTGTTTCCAGATTTTCATACTTTACACATGATCTGAGCAAGTGACATAACTATGGTTTCCATTTTTCCAAGTTGCACTTTTCAGCTTCCTTGAATAATGAAAATGTATCTCTGATTCAGCTTATGTTTAAGGCGGCTTATGTTGAAGATGTATTTGGACATTATGGCTCTGCCAAGTTTTATATATATGCATATATATGCGATTTTGACCAAAACACTTGCATTTTGTCCACTTATTTACTGTATCCTGAATATTTTGTTATATGATCTTAATGAAACTTACGTCTTGGTCACTTGGTCGTTACAAAGAAATTTTGATACTGAATTCGTCCTGTCGACGGTTAACCGCTAAAACATTGTAAATTTTCATTCATTTTTCTACAGATACTTGTAATGTTAATCTTATGTGGACATGAATGGTTTTGATATCAACCGGGCAAAAAATCAACAAAAACACCCTGCTCTAATTTCCCCATCCCATACCCTATATAATGTTTATACAATGCATCTAACAGACGTTCTATCTTTGATACAATTGCACACGTTTTAAACAATAATACGAAATAAACGTGCAATTTGTGAGTAAAACCGAAAAAGATGCTCTGATCACGTACATGTTCTTCAGTCTCTAGTTATAACTTTCACGATGATGCAGAAAACGCAAATGTAGGTATGTCCAAGTAACACACACTAGACGTGGTGAACAATAACTTTAAATGATTTGTATAGTTTGAAAACCGCGTCTTGACAAAACCAACATAGTGTGTCTGCGACCAGCATGGATCAAGACCAGCCAGCGCGCCCGTGTAGTCTAATCAGGATCCATGCTGCTCGCTTTCAGTTTCTCTACTTTCAATAGGGTTTGTAAGCGAACAACATGGATCCTGATCACACTGCGCTGATGCGCAGGCTGGTCTGGATCCATGCTAGTCGCAAATGCACTATGTTGGATTTGTCATGACGAGGCTCATTTATTGAAACTCACGTACAGCAATACATTGTTAAATCATTGAGAGCTGTATCATCAGCGCCTCCTTGAGGTTTCTCGATCTTTGACATGAAACCGCAAATAGCTGAATTTGGTCCGCAACTAGCACTCGAAGGACCCCAGCTACCCCAGGTTCCGTGGCCGGGAGCGATTGCTAGGTCATATTCAGGTGTAGCGGCCTCGAAGTCTCGACATTTGAACTTGACAAAGTCAACGATAGTGTCATCACCGGAACCCTGAAATAAACAATTAATTAAATTAGAATACCAGTTTTGTTAGGTTTTGATAAGATGCGAGTGAGTCCTAATATTTTTTTTATTTATTTCAGTCTGATTATATAGAAATCGTTTTCTTGCCGACATGTATATATGGTGATTTAGTTTCGCAAAGGGTTTTTTTTTCTTTGCCCTTTTAATGCCGGGGATGTATTGAATAGACTCGTCAGACCCCAACTTTATGGAGTAATCTTTGTCATTTATTAGCTTTTATCTAATACTTAATTGTATCGCACTTTAAATTATGACTTGCATAAAAGAAAATATATACAGAAAAAAATATTCTTTTCAATTTCTGTTTGTACAAGGTAAAGTTGTGTTTATACAATGGTTAATTACTTTAACATTTAATTTGCAAAGCCTTAGGTAAAGGAACATTGATTAACTAACCTGGTCTTGCTCCACATACATAGAAAATCCTGTCATAAAATGATGTAATCCTTGGTTACTGTCACAGTATTTAGGGTCCTGAGCAACCCAGTCTCCCCAGGGACCCTCTCCTGAGTGTACCGTACCAGCAAAGAGTCCTTCTTTGGTTGCACATCTTAATACTAAAGCATTTAAACCAGTGTCATCACCTGCCCCTTGAGGTTTTTCTATCTGGAAATATTTCTCTTCAATTAATATTAAGTGAGCTGGGGTTCAAAGGTACTAACTAGACACAGACTTACTCGTGGGGAAAATCACAGGTACAGGTTCAGAAATAGTCTACTTTGGTTAGACCTTTTTATACATTTTTGTATCTAAAAGTACCGCCTCCGTGGTCGAGGGGTTAGAATCGATGACTTCTAATCCAGTTACCTCTCTGGCGTGGGTTCGATCCCCGGGAGATGCTTTGTTAGTTTAGCGCGGAGGAAGGTAGTCTAGTACTGGTGTAAGTCTCCAGGAACGATGGTTAGGAAACTACCCGCCTATATGACTGAAATACTGTTGAAAAAGGCGTAAAATGAAACAAACAAACATCTAAAAGTAATGTTGTTTAGCGTCATTGCATAAATTGGAACCAACAGAAATCCTTTGCAAGTCATTTGACAAATCTTTAAACGTGTATCATATGTAAATTCTATGTGAATGAAGGTTTTTTAAAGAAGTATCTTTAAAACAAAAGATGCTCGTCCGAAGTAATACTGGTTAACATGCGCATGTTAGTTCTTAGTTTTCCCCGTAAAGCCATATAGAAATGTAAGCATAGCTTGCATAACAATGACATAACAACAATTTTTAGGAACAATTTAAGATTTATGTGTTTTTAAACGAACATGTCGTGAACTCAATTTCTAACACCAACATCTTAGCAGTCGGTAGGTAATTATGTTTATAAATACTTGATTGATACGCAAAATTATACAAATGTATGAAAATTATAAACATTATATCGATGTAACGTACACTTCAATAACCATGTTATTAAACTCTTAGGGTACCTGATAAGTTCTGATATTATTATGCTGTTGTTTTTTTTTTTGACAAAATTTAAAACTTAGATCTTGTGTAAGATAAACATATAGTAAAATTAAACGTAACATAAACTTTTCATTAGAAAATGTAATGAGATCTGAATGCAGATACTTTGCGGGAGGAATTATTATTATATCTGAGCAATTTAATTACAAAGTGAAAGCACTATCCTGTACATTTCATTTTAGAACTATCCTTTAATTCTATCCTTTATATTTTAATTTAGAACTATCTAAGAATGCCAAAAACTATCCTTTATATTCTAATTAAGAACTATCTAAGAATGTCAAGAACTATTCTTTGTATTCTAATTTAGAACTATCTAAGAATGTCAAGAACTATCATTTATATTTTAATTTAGAACTATCTAAGAATGTCAAGAACTATCATTTATATTTTAATTTAGAACTATCTAAGAATGTCAAGAACTATCATTTACATTTTATTTTACAATGGCCAATGGGATTCCAAGAATTCATTTTGTAATGACCAATGAAACCTCTTCTTATATATACAGTTCTTCCCGGTAATTATTAGAGGAAGTTAACTGATTTAGGCCGGCCTTTGTCGGAAAAAAATATGATAACACGTTAATATTTAATATTTAGCTTAATTTCTTATCGGGAGTTCTAAAACAAAACTCTAAGATTGGTCTTGGACTTTAAATAAACAGCGTATATTGTATTCTAAAAGAATTTTAACATATTTATACAAAACAAGTTTTCAAAACAATAGACAATAAGTTATTCTAGAAATACTGGTATATATACAAGCCTTCATATTGTATCCGATTGCATAAGATCCTGCTGCACAGAACTCTTTCGTCGTCCATGTTCCCCATGGTCCTCCGTTTGGAACAGTCAATATCTTTGTCACGTTCCTCTGAATATTCTCGTGAACAAGAAGAAAGCCAACAGCATTGACGGCACAAGAGATAAAAACAATCAAGTTAAAAACGGCCGCCATTTTGACACGTTGATATCTACTTATTTGTTTTATCTCTCTTCAGTAAAAACTTAAGTAACGTCGAACTAGTGATTATATTTATAAATATTTACCATCGAGTGTTTCGAATAGATAACGAAAATGACTGTTACTTCACAGTCTTAAAGTGTTCCACTAATGTAATTTATTTTGTTCGTATAAATTAAATCATCTTCGACACACAGGTAACGTTACTTGTTTATTGTTTGTAAGTCCAAAAAGACGCAAAGATCAAGCTTATGTTAGCTGGCTCAGTATTTTCATGTTAGAGTGAACTGTACAGCTTAAGAAAATTTAAGACCAAACAAATATTTTGTAAATCTAAATGCTCATACATTTAATATCTTAATGAGTTGTCAGGCTGAAAATATCATAGATAATTTGGCAAAGTTTGTGTTCCATGCCTTTGAAGAAAGATTTTTGTTTAAACATAATTTTACTTGTACTATATTATATAGTACAATTATTCTATTGTATGTAAACGTATTGATATGTATATTTCGCTTTGGGCTAGAGGCCTTGAATCAATAAACCTTTTGTCATCTTCATTGTTTTTACTAAACTAATGTAAACGTATTGATATGTATATTTCGCTTTGGGCTAGAGGCCTTGAATCAATAAACCTTTTGCCATCTTCATTGTTTTTACTAAACTAACAAAAATTGGAACCGAACATCGCGGTTCTCATCAAAATTCCTCACAGTGATTTTCCTTGGCGAATTGTAATACTGATAAGGGGAAATCACTACGTAGAATTTGGCTGACCCATAAATAATAGGCAAATATACTACTGAGCATACGGACGCTCTATATCAATCAATGGAACTATTGAATAGTGCCAAATGTTAATAGTTCATAAAATGTTACTGTATATCGTTATTATGATAAAGTGATTAAATGAAATGAAATGAAATGAGGAAACTAAATGTTAAACAAGTTAAAACTATACAGTAATTTATTTTACACATTACACGTGTTCTTTTATGTGTGTTTCTTCTTCTTTTTCGTCTATTTAAGAATAACTTGAATCATATATGGCTTAAAGTGTGTTTATTGAAGTAACTATTACATGTTTTTTTTATATTTTCGACGTATTTTAATAAGATGAATCCATTTTAACATGTTAAAAACAAATTTACTCTTTTTATCGTCGTAAAAAAATTAAAATCCTTCTCTCTATGGAAACCTTGGAACCAATAATTAACCAAACGTTTTCAGGGTTAGGAGCTCCTACGTCAACTTGCATTTGAAAATTGACTAAGCATAAGGTACGTACGAAACTTGGACGACCGTTCAACAAAAGCAAGATATTTCCGGAAGAACGTTATTCCTTTCTTATCAATGCCATGTTGTTAGAGCCGACATTTTTCATTCTAAGCCATCTATCTCCTTCTTATCCTTTCTTTTTTATGATGGTTAACGTATTTTTTTACATCACATAATTTTTCAAACCCTTTACCAACCAGCTGCATACTCGTATAACATAGATTTTTTTCTAATAAAACTTACTGATTGTGCATCAACACATATCCATGTACATATACACACTGCCAATTTTTTAGCAAATAAATTCTAGGATGAGACTTTTCTGAGCATCAGTTTTCAGTTCTTATCCTTTTTCGTGCATTTCACGTGTTGTTAAGGTTGTTTATTGTGAATATATAAATGTGTATACCTTTTTGAAATAAACAACACAGGTATGGTTGAACTTAAAAAAAATTCAGTTCACTCAATTAGTTTAATAAGATTCAGATTCCAAGCTAAAATATTGAGTATCCAAAAAAGAACAGAATAACAAATTACAACAATGTACAATATTTTATGTTATTTCTGAAGAAGTGTAAAAAAATCATCAATTCCGGATTATCCAAAAAAATGAACAGAATAACAAATTACAACAATGTACAATATTTTATGTTATTTCTGAAGAAGTGTAAAAAAATCATCAATTCCGGATTGAACTACATACATCTGCCCCTAAAATATATTACAAAATATTCTTTTATTGTCATCCCCATTGGAAAATCTAGCAGACTATATATAATCATCGGTTTTGCAAATAATAAAAAATCATTTTAACGTACAATTTAATACATAGAAAATGAACAATATTCCATACTTTCATTTGGTTAATTTTATATTTTATTTGTATTTGTTATAAATTGGTTTGCTCTTACCCCGCAGATGTTTTTTTAAGTATATTTTTTTTATTCTATTAAATATTTTAGTTTATCGAAGGTTGCTGGATGGCACAAAAATTAATGCGCCTGAAAAATAGTAAAATGCTCCTCTTATAACAATCTGAAATATATCTTTTTTTATAATTAATCTATTCCTTATTTATATCGATGTATCTTATTAGTTTCATATTCTTTTGTAACATCATGTTGCTGGAACACGACATCTAGCGGCAAAAAATTCATATGCCTGTTTTTGTCACATTAAAGTAGACTAATTAACATTATACAACATTCAGTAATCATAATCATCCTAAGAGATTTTTGGGGAGGCTATGCCGACCCAATGTTAATAACCATCTGTCAAATCTTACTGCCGCGGTAATCAGGTCAAAAAATAGTACCTTGATATTTTCTAAGCTGACTCATCACTCATCACAGACATTTACAATATGAAAATATTTTCATTCTTTAATTTCATATCTGCAATTTGTAAAGATAATAATTCTCTGAAAAATTCTTGATTTTTGTTTAAATCACTACTCCGTGACGTCATACTGCCGCGGTAATCAGGTTTAGGCAAACGTACGTCTGTAATAAATAGTTCTGGTATGAAAACCCTTCAAAATAATAACTTTATCAATATTTTTTTAACAAAAAGCATAAATGAAAATTTATAAGTAAATGCTTTAATTTAGTGGCAAATATTCTTTATTATTTTTGATAACAATTTTCCAATTACTACGCAGCGACCAACTGTTTATGACGGGTCATTAACTAGAACGTTGCAACACCGTATTCTCAATATCATGCATGTTCTTTTGTTGTTATAAACCATTAATAGTCCTTAATATTTTTTAAAGACAAATAATTGTAAACTGTCGCTTACATCAGAGACATGGATCATGCTTGCGTGATAACTAAGGAAAACTAACTTATTAGTACACCCCAGGAGGCTGTACGCGGAAAACGCTCATAAACCGCTATATCATATAGCTGTTAGTAAATATTTTGCATACATTTAACTAAAAATTCACTGATGGTGATGAACATATAGTTTGAAAACATTATATTCTTGAACCATTATCGCCGAAAAAAAACTATTTAACTACAAAACCCCTAAGGACCCTCCGACAAAATTCCAGCACAATATTACATTTTACATTAGCAAAATAAAAAAAGCAATACTTATATTTTCATCTTACATAATTCATTAATCAAACTTTTAACATAAAAGTATCTTTTAAAAATATGTCTGGCAATTGACAGATCCCTACTCTGATCTTTTATTTGTATAGGAATAAATTTAAACATGTGCTCTTTTGTTTAGGAATATTTTGTAGTGAAAGTCTTATATATTCACTAATCTCATAATTAGAATTAGACAGGTCAGGGATTTATACAACCAGTTGTTTAGTTAACTATGCTCATTTTAATCCCAATAGAAACATTCAAATATTTGGGGTAAAAAACATGACCAAAGTACCTAGTAGTCGTTTACCCGGTGGTGATCCCATTAAACTGATTATAGATTCGAATTGATTAGAAAACACAAATAGAAACATGTGTTTCCGTACAACAAAAATCGGAAGTAAAGTGAACAGTTAATTGACAGAAATATGTGGTCAAATATGTTTTAACAAGGAAATAATTATTTCAGAGAAAGACGCAAAGATCAGTATGACCCCGTATTGTGTAATTAGAAAGTTTATTCAATTCTAGAGCAACGCATCATAATTTGATAGTCCATGTGTAATAAAATTCAAATTTTCAATACAGATTATGAGATACATAAAAATTTTTAAAGAATAAGAAGCTTTAATTAAAAAACAAACATCCCCCCCCCAAAAAAAAAAACCGCATACATATAGTAGTATACAAATTACTTACAGTCGAGCATCGGGAAGTCATTAAAGGGAAAGACAATGTTAGAATAAAAACTTGATTTCAGAAAAAGAATACTATAAATAATAAGTCTGCAAATTTTCTGCCGCCAAATAATAATATTAAACGAATGATAACAAAATTTAAATCGCTAAATCACCGATTTCTACAAATCAGTAAGCGCGGCCATGTTTGTGTATTGGCCGTATAAAAACAGGTGCGCGTGATGTCATTTCCCAACATCTTTAGATTCATGATAAATCTAGTTGAATCGTAAGGAAATATTAATGACCAGACAATTTAATTTTCACAGGAGGTGTAGAGGAGATTTTTATGGTTCAAAATACGTAACAATATCAAAAAAAAAAAAATAAATAAAATAAAATAAAGAAACGTACGGCTAGCCAAAAGTTCTAGCCGTACGTGAGTCACGAACGACTAGCCAGGACGCACTGTACGTATTGTCTAGCCGTATGGCACTTTTCAAAATTATATGGAATTCGAACGTTATAAAATTGTTGATTTTCATGCTTATCATTTGTTGTTTTATTTGTATGAATTATTAAATCATTTTTGTTAATTTTAAGCACATGGATCGAATAAAAAATGATCGGAGTGGAATAAATACGAATACGAATACGAAAAGTTTATTTGTATAAAGCATAGTACAATGCTTATAACAAGTATAAATTGTAATATATACAATGTTTGGAGATCAAAACATGGATTTTTCCAGCAAACATAAGATGTTTCATGGAATATTATGTTCAATATTCAATATGATATTTAACATGTTTAATATATATGTTGCGCTTGCATGCATAAGTTTCAAATAAACAGACGCCAACCTACAATATCCTGAATAGTCTGCACTTAACTTATTCTATCATTTTCTAAAATATAAAGACATGAAGAACACTAAAGTCCTTTAGACTAAAAGTAATATTCACTGTTGCAAGTCAGTTCTTTTGAAAGATATACATGCAAACGCAAACATCTTAAACAATAAGTTATGGTTCGAATATATT